ATGTACTAACTATTGCCGTGATAGAAATGATGAAATTCGCAAAAATTCGCTAGTCTCTGCCCAGCTTCGTTACGATCTTCGGCTGAATGTGGACCGATGAAGACCTCCCCGGCTCTCCTTGATCCAACACGAGCGTTGAAGTCACCCATTATCACGACGTAGTTGCGTTGACTGCGAATGAGTTCTTCCAGTTGCTCATAGAAGTCATCGTGCTCCTCTTCATCACTGTCTGCTATAGGCGCATAGACTTGCACCACCGCTATCTGTATGTCCCTCGAGAGCGAAGCGGTTAGCACGGCGAGCCGATGACTATGGAACGTTACACTTCGCACATGTTTGGAAAACTCCGGTGACACTATGAAGCCAACGCCTCCTGATGTTGAGTTAGACTTGCGGGCTCCTAGGAATACTGACGTCCCATCGGTCCACGTGCAGGACAAGGGCTCCTTCCGCTTTGTTTCACTGAGGCCGATTATATGGTATTTGATCCGTCGAGCTTCATCGATAAGTGTAGAAAGCTGAGCGGCCGAACTGATGCTACGGCAGTTGTAGGTACAGGCAATCAGTTGGCTCGCTCTTTGTCCGTCTCCTTTGGTAGCCTACGGCCCTGAGATTTCCTCGCCTTCGGCTGTTTGCTGATCCAGCGCTACCGGACTGGGCAGGGACAGCCTGCAGGGGACTAAGGCAGTTATAAGAAGTGGTCGTGGTATTTTCGTCCCACGGGATAGCCTTACCAGGGCGTTCCCGTTGCTCAAGGAGAGCGCCGTCCCACCAAGGGCTTGGGCACTTTGGGTTCTTTAGTCACGGGAATCGGTATGGGGTTTCGGCGCAGCCCTATCCTGAAGGATATTCCGATCCCGCCTCAAGCTCGTACACCACTACAAGGTAGAACCCATGTACAAGTGGCTTACATCGGCCGAGGATTGTTCTTCGCTAATTGGTCGCGTCCGTATTCTTGAAGCAATCACCTGTCTGTTCGACTAGCCTAAACTTTGACTCAATCTTATCGTGGGTTCCTCCTTCCTCCTACCACTCGAAGATGAAACAACGAGGGCATAGACCGCCATTTTGAAAAAAATAAATGTCGGAAATGCAGGAAATGCCAACCTTTTCGTTCTGTGTGGTGAATGAGGTCGAAGAAGGGGTAACTTACCTAATTTGAAGAGGAAGGCGGATCCCAATAGGTGTGACCGACACAATCCGCATCGGGATATTGGTACCTTGGGGCAGAAGCCTTGTCAAAATCCGAATTAAAGAGGCAGACAGCAAGATACGTGATAGTCAGAGATCAATGATACGACAGAGATGAGATTCCGCCACGGTGAGCTGCACAACTCCATGATCCGTGAGGTCCTAGTCTCAAGTCGTATCGCGCTTCGAGGCGCGAAGACGGCAGGACCTCTGCAGCTGAGGATCCGGCAACTGCATCTAATCAATTCTGGATGAGATTCGCGGGATGAGCATTCGAGAAGATGACAGGAGTCAGTGCCTGTCTGCTCTGCGTTCCACCAACATGATCTCTTATGTTGTATCTGAGGTTATTCAACTACCAGTTTATTCAAAGCCCGAGCAACTCGGGTAAGGAGTTTAGGATTGTCCGCAACGCATTCATCTGGCTGCCGTATCCTAAACCCCACAAGCTGGGCAACATGAAAAACATTGTGCCTCAGAATGCTGACTGAATGAAGAAGTGCATTACTCAGACAGAAGTTCAGTGATACGAAGTTAAGTTCTGGAACTCGTTACTCATGATGAAACGAGTTACATACAACATTCAGAAAGCCCAGCTAATTAGTTACCGTACCCAGAGAGAACTGGATCTTTTTATCGGTTGCGTGGTTAAAAAACTAAAGTGTGTTTCTAATGAGGCTGCCTTTCCCAATTACATGTGCTCAGCCAAGCCCAGGTTTAACAGCAATGTTTAGCGTTAGGTATTCAAACGGGAGGGAGATGAAAGCTACGGTATAAACTGTTATTTAGTGATTTCTTCGCTCGAAAATGAGAAGGAAGGTACGAGTTGGAATGAGAGTGACGAAAGGAGGACAGAAACCGCTAACATAATTGAAACAAAAGATATTCTGAGCGCTTTCAGGTTAAAAAATCAATATGCAGCAGCTAGATTACAGGCGAAGGCGAAAGAGCATGAGGAATGTGGGAGACGCAGACACGCAGTCGGTTAGACCGTTGCTTGGGACACAACAGCTGCACCTGTACAGA